AGAACCAGATTTTATTTGGCCTTAAATCAGCTCATTCCCACATCAGCCCTGATGATGAGGTTCAGCTCAGAAATCCCAGAATGTGCTCCACGTTTGTTGTGTTGTTTCTTCACCATCAGAAATGTTTGTGTTTCTGTTAATTACACCGTGGTGTTTAATTTATAACGTCCCTGTTAGACAACAAGGTTTAAACACAGCTGGGAGGTGTTTAGTTTCACAGGTACAGAAGAGACTTGGGCAGACAGTGTCTGTGGGATCGGACTGAGATGTCCAGTAGTGTCCTGTTTAACATGAGCAGGAAGAAGCACATGTTCCTGTGACTCAGGAGATCCGAGCAGGTTCAGATTGAACCACGTCATGTCTCAACACTTTGCTCATTCGTTGTCCAGTTCGCTTCCAGTCTCTTCAGTGACATCTGGGAAGTTTATCCACCTGTCAGAGCTGCCTTGTCTCTGTTGTATGAATCTGCTTCTAATGTGAGGCCTTCAGAACAAACTCTGGTGCTTCTGGCTTCAGCTGGTGTTTCATTACCTTCCTTTACATACCTGAGTGTGTTTGGGGGACCTACACCTCTAGAATAACTGTCGGTTTTCTGAACCTTTCCATTGTTCTATACAGAGGAAGTGGACCAGCTTCTGGGGCCTGAGCTGAACCAGAACACGGTCCCAAGCCGCTGGACTGCTGGTTAATTGATCACAGCAGCCTCTGTGGTCCGGCCCAGTCAGCCTCCACAGGCTACGACTGGCCTTTCCACTGGCCCAATGGGTCAGAGGCGTTTCTTCCAGCTAAATGCTCTGTGGTCTGGCCGTTTGTTTCTCCCTCTATGCAAAGCTTCTCTCAGCTATCACTCCAGTGCTCTCATGGACATCTACCATCACAGAGCGTATTGGTTGTTTCATTGGTTCGTAGCAGCAGTGGGCTGCAGCGTTTGACCGCTGAAGCCTCCTACAGCTTCCCCCGACGGGCTTCACTCAGCCCTTGGGTTGAGCCCACGAGCCATCCTGTGGTAAAGTACAGTAGGAAGATATTTCAGAGATTAGGTGGACGTCCCAAAGGGTTCCCCACGCACAGCCGGCCACGTCACATGAGCAAACACACTGCGCTGTGAGCTGACTGCAGGGGAGTGCAGCGAGCAGCGTGGCCTCCTTTGCTGCCTCCTCATCCGTGAGTTAATTGTGTTCAAGGCAACCACAAAGCAGAGTGCGCTCCGTGTTGAAACAACTCTCCTCGCTCGCACTTTGATTAGATTCAGCCTCTTGCTGCAGCGGTGAAAGCAAACGTTCACGCATCATCGGAGCAGAAGGAGACTCGTAGCTGGCCTGGTGTGTGCTGCTCAACTTACTTCCACTTAATCCACTCGCACAACTTTATATCACGAGCGTGGCCCATTAATGTCAGTACAGCGACATGAGCAGGAGACAGTCGGGCGTTCTGGCTCCAGCGTGAGCTCTGAATGCATGAAGCATGGAGGTGTTAGAGAGAGCCATCAGTTCATCTGTGACAGGAGGAGGAGGAAGATGAGCCACTTAGATCGGTGTCAGGAGATAGTTCTCCTCTCTGACCGGTAATCCTGCAGTCTGGATGCTCTCATTCCTGCCATAATCTGACGGCAGCTCATTTCATGCATTGCTGCCCCTCTCTGGCACAAGGAGTGCACATCCTCAGCTCTCTACAGCCAATGGGCATCGGCTATTGTTCAGAGGGGTGTGTGTGTGTGTGTGTGTGTGTGTTTGTGTGTGTGTGTGTGTGTGTGTGCGCGTGTGCGCCAGCCAGCACGTGGGATCAATGGACACCCTGCCATGAAGAGTTAGTCGCTGGCCGCTGTGGTAACTGCAGTATTGATCCTTACAAAGCATGATTGTCCTTTTGTGTGTCTGCAGGCCCAAAGCTCACATCAGCTCCTGTCCACCAGACGGTCCGACCCTCTGGTGCAGGTGCTGCCCATCGCCCGCTCAGACTACATCCACGTTTAAATCTTAGTTTTATTTTAAAGTGTTTAACTTCTGCTGTGTTTGCATCAGAGCCTCTTTTGGACACGCACTCAGTTGTGTTGATCAGGTTCATGTGTCGGCTTCATGTCTGATCTGCTCTTTGGTCGGTTTCACGTTGTGCAGGCGGTGCTGCAGAGTCGGATCTGGTCTGGACTCGCACCAGCAGCGCTACGTTGAGTCACATGACTTAGGGAAGGATGTTGTTCACATTTTACCATCAGCATTCCCCCAGAGAGGCCACATGTGCCACAACACACCTGTTTCATGCACTTTGCTCTGAAACTTCAAATCATTTGGGCAACACAATATGTCCACAAGGCTGCAGGTGGATCAGTGGTTAGCACCGTGGCCTCACAGCTAGAAGGTCGCCGGTTGGAGTCCCAGTGAGGACACCCGGGATCTTCCTGCGTGGAGTCTCCATGTTCTCCCCGTGCAGCGTGGGTTCTCTCCGGGTTCTCCGGCTTCCTCCCACAGTCCAGAAACATGCTGAGGTTAATTGGTGATTGTAAATTGTCCGTAGGTGTGAATGTGAGTGTGCTTGGTTGTCTGTCTCTAAGTGTAGCCCTGTGATAGACTGGTTACCTGTCCAGGTGAACCTGCCTTCACCCTGAGTCAGCTGGGATAGACTCCACCCCCCATGACCCTGGTGAGGGTTAAGGTGTAGAGATGATGGATGGATGGGACCATCATGTATCTGGTCCTGTACTCTGATCTCTGTCAGGTCCTCTGATGCATCCAGACTGACTACAGACCAGCAGAGTTCTGTTCCAACACTTGAGTAGAACCTGCACATCGTCGACTGATCTTAAACTGAGAACCTGTTTCCTCTGTGTTGAGCTGAACCTTGAGCACTCATCATTATCTGCTGTGCACTTGCATCCGTCACATATCCAGCCTGTCTCTCTGTTCAGTCTTCTTTATTGCTTTAGGCTGTTTGGCTTCATTCATAATGTGCACTTTAAGTTTTCCTTGCCCTCTGCTAATGCACTTGCCCTGCAGTTTAAAACTTTCTTGGAGAGTGTGTAGTTGTTTCATAGCGATGCCTCTAAATGCCTTTCATACACATTAGTCCAGACTGAGCTCTGGAGGTGCTCTGATTACTCTGTTATGGCTGGTAGGACTCGTGAACCTTGTGGGAGCACCACACAGACACGGCACATCGCGGTGGCGTTGTGGAGTCATGCAGTTTGCTGATATTGTTCTGAGCAGGAATTCGATAGCAGATGTTAGGAGAACAGGACTCAGCTACATTAACAGCACCCTCGGGGTGGACGCCAAGCAGCCGGGCCACAGCCGGGCCACAGCCGGGCCACAGCCGGGCCGAATCAATTCTCAATTAGAGCAATCCATCAGTGCTGCTTTGCTCTGCGTACTCATACAGCAGACGTTTTGGATCTGTGTGCATGCAGGTGAAGCTCCGGCTGACTGTATTTTCTGGAGCACACTAAGCTAACTGTAGGTGCGTCTTATTGCTCTGTGATGTCCCAGCCCTCAGCCCGAGCCTCCGAGCTGCAGCTTCATGTGAAAAGTCTTGAGCCTCAGTGACTAACGGTAAAAACGATAATTACAGCAGTGGTTGGGAATAATTAGTGAATGAAAACAGTATTAAAGAGCAGCTGAGAGCAGCACAGTGGTGATGATGACATGCTTTGGTGGTTGTGCTGATTTAATTAGCGCCATGCAGTTCATGGTAATAGGTGAACTTACTGAGACGTAGTCATAGTGATCCTTCTTCACAGGTTTTATTGCAGACTGAGAGTTGGTACACTTTTAAAGCTGCGTTGGGACACTGTTTGTTTTGTTCGTGCTTCATGTGCTGCACGTCTGTTCAATGTCATGTGTGTCAGCAATCTGCCAAGCTCACATTAATGTGCGTGCCGAGGTGGCCTAATTTCCTGCATGCTTCGGGGAAATAGTGTGATAGGATGTGGCAGACACTTCATAATTGCCAATATGGCCACATAGGGTGTAGCTGCAGCCCAGGGGCAGGCGGCTGCCCACTCTGGCCAGGCCTCGCTTGATTACCACCCCATCAGCGTGCTGTGGAGGACACACACACACATCTGTATTATACCATTCAGTCTCTTAGCACTGCTCACTAACGTCAGTCCTCTTTGTGCGGTTCTGTTCCTCGAAGGCGTTCTGCTCCGTTTAGGTCTAATGTGAATCCTCACATCTCATAAGAGGTCCTGCTTGTATAGATTTTTTCCAGTTGTTGTTCTGTCATACTGTACAGTGTGAAGCAGAGATCTTGTTAAAGGGCTTTTGTGGAGGAATTGCCTCTCGCTGTCGTCTATCTTCTCCTCCCACGAGAAAAGCAGAAGCCTGTTGGCGGTGACGGGAACGTCCAATGTGTTTGCTCTGCAGTGATGAGTGTTCATGTGAGCGTATAAGGACATCAGTGTTTTGCATGAGAGCCCACAAATGTACACACCTACACACCTACACACACACACACACCTACACACACACACCTACACACACCTACACACCTACACACACACACCTACACACACACACCTACACACACACACACACACCTACACACGCACACCTACACACACA